GCGCCGAGCGGCGTTGTTTGTCGGTCCGCGAGTGTCGATCGGCTGAGCTGTGACCGGGATCAGCTGCTGGTTCCAGCACCGCGCCACGGTCAACACACGGCGAGTCGGTCCGATGAGCCGGGGAATGCATCCGGGACGTCCCGCCCCGACAGCCAGTGCGGCAGGATCCGACTCTCCCGTCAGCGTGTGTTACATTTCCACTCCTTGATCGTCTTTGACATAGAGTTCTCAAACTCGGGTGTGTACTAATATATCTATCGACACCTATACCCATCGGCACATTCTCATCGTGTGACCAAAACTGCGCATCGTGTGTGCGCAAAACGCACACTGCGCATCGTGTGTGCGCGCAAGGTCTCTTTATTAGACGCCCGTGTGCTCGATTTATGTTGTCATCGTAATCTGCCGTTATTTGATGTGCTTTCCTGTGTTCGCCGCCGGTCGGACAGTGAGACCACCCGTTTCCAGTTGTCTCCCGGCGAACTTTATTGGGTGCTATGTCTGTGAAGTTGGCCAATATTGACAGCGCGTGTCCGATGGTCGTTGCTTTGTTTCGACCGGCCGCTTTAGGAGATTCCCAGCCATTCGTTATTGAAACTGAGAGAGTATGTAGAGTTACCGACGCAATTCAGTGGGCTCGTGACGCTTTTGACCTTGGTCGTCTCATTTCTCATCCTTTAATGGTGGATGCAGTCGATTGTTGTTGACCAGTGGGATGTGAAGAGTCATTTGTAGGGCTCGTCTCGGTACCAGTTGGGCACTCATTTAAAGTAACCCTGAATGATGGGTGTCAGTCCAGCATTTGCTAAATTTATTGTTCATGAGATCTTTGCTTAAATCGTTTATATTTAAACGCATAACTGAATGAGATTCGCCTTTATAAGGTTGTCTAAGGTGTGTCGTTTCGGCAGTGCTTTTATTTTCCCTCACGAATAGAAAACTAGTTTCTCGCACGGCTATCTGTAACCACCCTTATGTCCACATGTCATTGACGTGGCGTTCAGCTGCCTTACGCTAGCGGTCCACCCGGGCTTTCCACCGAGTCTGACAGTCTCCTCCCCCTCTCTCGCCAGGAGTGCACCAACATCTTCTCGTCGGGCGGTGGTGAGCAGCTGAGCTCGGTGGCCGGCGTGCCGTTCCTGGGCCGTCTGCCGCTGGAGCCGCGGCTGGCCGCCGCGCTGGACGCCGGAGCGCCGCTGACCGAGGCGGCGCCCGCCGCCGGACCCGTGGCAGACGCCGTCTCAGAGATAGTGCGCGGCCTGCTGCAGACGGTGCGGTGACCGAGCGGCCGCTGCCGACGACTGCCGGCCCACCCGAGCGGTGGGTCGGGCCTCCTGGCCTGCTGTCGGGGTGCAGTGGTCCCTTCTGGCTCACCATCAGCTCAGAACTGGGTATTTCAGTGCCGCCACCAGTGATGAAACTGCTCAGCCAGTTGTGGGGATGTCGTATTCCCAACAGTGACGGGTACCCGGCTGCTAGTGTCGCCAACAGTGATTATATTTCCGAGAGGGCCAGTGACCGACTAGCGCTCCTGTGGCCCGTGTGATCATTGTCGGTCAGCACACCGCCCCGTGCTGATTGAGCCGTGAAGGCGCCGGAATGGAGTGGACACAGTCTCGGCACGGTGATAGCAGTTGCCATCGGTGCCGCCGGGCCGTTCAACTCTCGCTGACCTGTCCGTCCGTGGGCCGGGCGGCTTCCCGACCCGTCCATGGTCTACCCGTTGGCCGGGCGGCTGTCCTGTTCTGTCTGAAGTAGTCGTCTGATACCGACTGAGTCCGGTCCGAATGATACCAAACACTGGCGCGAGGGCTACACTAGTGATCATATATTGACGAACGGAATAATATATGAAATAATGCTTTAATTTTATTTTTGTTTGTTGGGGAGATGTATGTATCCCTGACGCACATCTTTTACTCACGACATTATATCTATCCGTTCAGATTTCCTGATAGTCAGCAGCCTTTGAAATATCGGGAAGGCGGTAGCATTTGTGTCGCCGTGACAGAACTACCGATGTCATCTTTTTTTTTCTAGTTAAATAACGATTGTCTGTCAGTTCTGCGACGAAAGTAATGGAAAACGTCACTTTTGCTTTTACAAAGAAAGGATAGTTAATTATTTTTGCAGGACTCAATAACATCCGTGTTTCGTTTGTTTACAAAGCTGTATTTGATATCCCGTGCAATCAGGGTGGCTTGTTTGCTTGATATTTTAGATGTTTACACCACATTAAAGGGACTATCCCACCTTCTAAAATGTTGTTAAAACCAGTTAACCCTCGCATGTGTGCGGCGTTTGCCAGCTTCTAATGTGTAGGGGGGGGGGGGTCGGTTGGACCCCCCCCCCCTTGCCGTTTGGCCCCTGATCGAGCTAGAGCTTCGCGGAAAAAACGAGCGTGTTGCCCGTGACGAGAGGAAGCCGATGATACCCAATTTTAAGGTCCTAGGTCATTGGGTGACCTTCCAGGTCAGGTCAATGACCCAAAGTCGGGAAAATCGGGACCTGTTAGAAAGTCGTAAAGTGTGGCTTCTAAGGGGTTTTTCGGGGTGCTGATCACGAATATCGTGTTAGTTTTGACCACAGATGATGTCTTTAAGCATTTAGACTAGGTCGGGTCAGGTCAGGTCAGGTCAACCAGTAGGCATCGTGACGGGTATTCGTAGTACGTGTCAACCGCCTCTGACAGCTTCGTAACATGTTACGAAGGCACCAAAACTACTTCGTAAATGTTCAAATGGTTGCTAAATTCGAATTCAGCTCCAAAAACTAGCCTAGAAACATGTACAGCTCGAAAAAGTGAACCGAGGTCACCCGAGGTCACCAAAGGTCAATGACCTGACCTGACCTTCAGGTGACCTTGACACCCACCCTAATGCATGGAAGCAACATCAAATCACATGTTTGAACGTTTGAAACCACGAAAAGCTTGCAAACGCGCGGCTAATGCGAGCCGACATACGCAGAATCGCGATTCTGGCCAAACATGGTCTCGGAAAAGAGGTCACAGGTCAAAGGTCATTTTGGTCAGGGTCATGAAATTTTTAGGGTAGGTGTAAAATTGATCAATGTGAGGGTACTGAAAGTTTCGTCGCGATCGGCCGCTTTTTACGCGAGTTATTCGCGAAAAACCATGGGGGGGTCCATCCGACCCCCCCCCCCCCCTACACATGCGAGGGTTAAATTGTGCCCGACTTTATAGATTGGATGACCAGGAACACGGTTCTGGCATTTATTTTTCATTAAACATCTTAGGCTTCCCATATTCCAAACACAAACTTTCAAATATGTGACGTCACAGCCCAAAATTACCTCCTTCCCCAGGCCACATTTCTGTCATAAACTGATTCTTTTTACTCTGTAGGCACCACAACAAAGTTCAGACCAAGTTTTAAGCGATTTTTCAACGAACAAACCCATTTAAATCAGAATGACTAAACGAGGTGACGTCACACTAACGGTCGCTCCATGTTGAAGATAGGGCCTTGTACAAGGCCCATTTTCAAATGAAGGGAACGAATTTCTTCAACACCAAGAGGCCGCGGGGGTTGCAACCTAGATAGATAGTGGTTTCTGAACCTCGCCGCAAACTTGGCTATTTCAACTCAAACCCCATGTTAAAGGTGGGATAGTCCCTTTAAATTTGCAAATTGAGTCTGCAGATGTTTGTTTTTCAATTTTATGTGACGTCGCCCTGTGTCCATCGTGCGGTTGTTAGATGCACGATGTAGCCCTCGCTTGTCTGGAGGCGAGCTATATTTGTGTCCGTTGATTGTCTGTCCCATTCTCCTGGCGTTAAGCTCGTACACCGACATTTCTTCATTTGTCCTTTGCCGTCCGCTCGCACTAGTTAACTCTGCTGTTAGGTATGCCGTTCTAACCTCCGCCGTTCGGCTATACTACCTCAGCCGTCTGGTCGTACTACCTTGGCCGTTTTGCTACCACTGCCACTCGTTCGTGCTAACTACTTATGCTTTGGTGCTTGTTCTGTTCTCTGCCGTTTGGTTGTACTACTTCCGCCGTTCGGTCGTATTACATGTGCCGTTGGGTTTGCCCTCTCGGTCGTACTTAGTAGTCTGCCGTTCTGTCATGCTACCTCGGTCCTTTGTTTTGTCCTCTGCGGCTCGGCCGCCAGTGATGCATATCTCTGGTGTTCAGTCAAACAGCCGTCACCTCCGACAGTTTGGCTGTCGGCCTCCGAGCCGTCACCTCCGACAGTTCGGCTGTCGGCCTCCGAGCCGCCACTGATCTCCCGGGGTCGTCCCGATCGTGCGGTGACGACCAACTAATGACCGCTGTCCGCCGCCCGCCCCGGCCCACCGACTGCCCCAGCCGGGCTGCGGGCCGGGCTCACCCGATCCGCGACCAACCCACCGCCGGGCCGGGGCGCCGGCCGTCCACGGCTACACGCTGCCGGCTCCATCGCCATTCACAGACGGGAACTGGGCGAGTTGCGGTCCGGAAGGGGATGACTTCCGGTCCGGAAGGGGATGAGTTCCGGTCCGGAAAGGGATGAGTTCCGCTCCCGACGCTCAGAAGAGGCGCCTGTGGTTCCCCGGAAGTGTGTTCTCGGGGAGGCAAAATGGCGGCTGTTCTCCAGGATAGAGAATAGGATGGCTAAGAGCCAGTGCTCTGCTGTGAGGAGATGGCTTTGGGTTGTATTACCTCAGTGTCAACAGAGGAAGTGGTCCCGTCTCCGGGCCATCCTCATATATGGCTGCGCGGTCCGCGCCCTTCCCTGCGGCCGCTGAACAAATGCCAGTGTGCCCACTCATTTCCATTCAAAACAAAGAGGTGAATCGTTAACTAAAGGGGTACGACATCTCGTAAATGGGTATTTCAATGATATGGTAATATCGTACATCTTTATGACAAATGAGGGTTTATAGAATTTGCTATACTCACGTGAATATTGGGGCTAGGCCTATAAGGTGTACTAGTTAGCAGATTCTATAATAAGCCAATTGGATATATTTTCTTTTATAGTCGTTTAGATGTTTCGTATTTTGTACGTGTTTATAATTTATTTGAAGTACATCACAGCTGGTAGCCATCAAACACCCATGCAACAAAATAGGTACGTCGTCAGAGGTCTGTTCTATCCAAACCTTAACACTTTACAGCCAAACCCATCGATGACAACATCGAACGAGCAAATGTAAATAGACACATACCTACTTACATACCTACGCTTCCATTGACTTTGAACATAGTGTTCCGAAAATAACACGTGTCTTTGGGTCATCCTCGCATCTCCATTGCTCACATTGCCGGTTTAGTGAGCCATTCTTTGTCTCATTCGCGTCCATGTCAACAGTCCGTCGTGCCCAACCCCTCTCCAAAGAGTGTCATTCCTATTGCGTTTTGACCATCATCGACAGCATTAAGCTCGGTACACAAGTAGACAGTGTAGTCTGCACACAGCGCACAGTGGACACACCGAAGGGGTTGATGTTCTCGGAGAGCGGCCACACTCGTCATTTCCACCGTACACATATCCAGCACTAGCCCTGGCGCTCAAACGCCCAGCAAAAGGGGCGAACAGCGGGACAATGGCGCCTGCCAAAAAGTTTTTTTTCAACATTACTATGCCTCGTGAAAATGAACAACTTGTTTGACCCCTCTCCTGAATACATTAAAACACATCATAGACCAGCGCTGGCGTACACTCAGACACAACGTTGGTGGCTCTAATGACGCCTTCTTTTTTAGAGACATCAAAGCCAAGCCGATAGATACAAGTTAATTTGACTATCCGCGACCGAAATAGTAACTTATTGGCGATAAAAAAAGGTGGATATAGCTCGTTCTGAAGAGATAACACGTCAAGAATGGCGTACTCTGAACACAACACATGGTCTCACATCACGCTCCTGTTGACATTAGCGTAATGTACACGCATCGGAAACACAGCACAGTCATTGCAATACATGCACATGGAGGACGCATGCCGTCCGCAATAGTAACCAGTAGACAACAGGGCTACTACAGTCCATTTCGGAGCCACACGTTACGGCTCCGCGGTACGTTGATGACACGTCTCCGCTCCGCTCTGTCTGGTGGAGACGGGGCGCGAGTGTCGCCCAGCGGGGCGCGACATCAGATCATTTGTGGTGGAGAACACAGTCCAGTGGGCCGCAGTGTCCGACGGACTGACCGATCGGGCTCACGGCGGGCCATCGACAGAGACCCAATTACTTAGTGAACAAGTCCACTCGGCGCCGGTTTTGGCTACCGTCCATCGGGAGGCTGCGATTTGGCTCGGTGAGGAAATCAGATGTGCTTAGCTGAGCGGCAGGGTCATAGACCAGTCGTCTTTGCCTCACAGTTCAGTCACAGGTCGTCGTTGCCTGTGTGTCAGCCTCAGCTCCAGTCTCAAAGACCATTCTCACTTTGCAGGCATTTGGCCGTCTCACACCGGCCTCTTGGCCAACCGCAGCGGCTGGTCGGTCAGAGTTCTGCTCAACTTCTGAGTAGTTGAAAAGGTCACCTGTCCAGTCACCAGACATCCAGCCTCAGCCTATCTAGACTAAGCCGTCCGTGCAGTCGGTGAAGCTGTCGAGGACTGCTCAGGGACATCCAGCAGCAGAGATCCGCCGACCCACGGCAGGGGTCCGACCACCTGCGGTTTTTCACCGAGGTGCTACCGTTCCCTTGGAAAAAAAAATCCTGATCGGTCCCGCAGCAGGGCTGACCTCAGCATTGGACCGGCTGCGGCGCGCCGGCGGAGCGCAGCACCCGCAGCGGGATCTCGGTGTGGCCGTTCTGCCGCAGGCTGGTGGCCGCCGTGGTGGTGGTGCGCAGTCCGCGCTGGGTGCCCGCCAGCAGGGTGGTGCGCGTGTTGCGGCCCGGCTGCAGACTGCCCGGCGTGCCCGGCCGACAGAGCAGCAGCTGCCGCAGCCGCCGCAGCGCCAGCTTTATCTCCGGCATGCGCGCCGCGTAGATAACCGGGTCGACCAGACACTTGAGCACGACCAGCGTGTTGGTGGTGATGGCCATCTCGAGGTGGGTGCGCCAGTGCAGCTGCCGCGGGTGCATCGAACAGTCGTAGCAGATGAGGATGAACGTGACGACCGCCGGCATCCAGCAGAGGATGTACGTGCCTAGGATGAGCAGCGTCGTCACCACAGCTTTGACGCTGCTCTTGAGCTGCGACGAGTTCTGGTTGCGCAGCGAGCCGCGCTGATGCTGGCGTACCATGATGAAGATGTGTGTGTAGGCGAAGAACATGCAGATGAGCGGCACGAAGAAGAGCGATGCCACCACACGACGGAACGTGCTGAACGGCAGAAAGTCGAGCGAGCAGCCGTCGGCGCGGAACCCGCCCGCCGCCGCAAAGTACACCAGGAAGAAGAGGATGGGCACCAGCCACAGGAAGCCGATGGAGGTGAGCACGCGGCCGCGCGTGATAAGGCGCGCGTAGTGCAGCGGGCGCAGGATGCCCACGTAGTGGTTCAGCGCCAGCGCCAGCAGGTGGGCGGCCGTGGAGATGACGCCTCCCAGCCGGAGCGCCTCCAGCACCAGCGTCGGACAGCGGCTCAGCGTCTCCACGCCGAACCCGACCGGCAGCAGGCTGTTGACCACCAGACCGAGGCCCAGGATGGAGGCGGCGTACGCGTCGGCGCCTGCCAGGCTCACTGAGAAACACATGGTGGGGCTGAGCGGGCGCCGGATCAGGCGCGCCGACACGCAGATGCTGAGGTTGATGACGGTGCCGATGACGCAGAAGACCAGCATGATGGGCACGGTGATGAGGTAGATGTTGCGCCGGTGCTCGAGCTCGCCCTGGCGCAGCTGGTTGCGGATGTGCAGCGCCAGCAGGTGACGCAGCACGGTCTCGTTCACCGTGCCGTTCGACGTCTCCAGCAGCTCGTGCAGTGGCCCGAACTCACTGAAACGGGGAGCGCAGCGCGTGCGTCATTTACGGAATTATGCAAGTAACAGTCACAAAAGTAATAGAAATGCTGGATGGAAGCTGGTGGCTGAGCTTATAGTTAAATAGAACACTAGTGAAGTTCAGCGGATGTATGTAAACGAGAGCAATGTTACCGACGACATCTCTTTCATTTTCAAACTTCTGAATATCTCACGCATCTAGTTACTTGGCACAGTTCTAAGCTGTTACAAATTAGGTCGGATTTTTTGGAGTTATATTGAAATGAAATATAAGTGAGTGATTTGTGCCAGGTTGTAATAACTAGCATTCAGGTCTAGGGGCAGCTTTCTACAAACTAGCACTCAAATTATATTGTCACCCTATAATACTAGTAGATAACTTGGCCTTGAGACTTATTTAAACTTTATCTCATTATATGCTTATTCGGATGATTATGCGATATTTTGAAGGGTATACGGTGCTTTATATACCCATATACCCGTTGTTTTATTGAATAAAGGCTTACCTACCTCAAAGGCCGGAAAGGGCTCACTATCGGAGGGACACGACTTAGTAGTGGAAGGACACGTTCGGTAGCGGAGGGACACAGCTCACTAACGGAGGGACACGGCTCACTAACGGAGGGACACGGCTCACTAACGGAGGGACACGACTCAGTAGTGGAGGGACACGGCTCAGTAGCGGAGGGACAAGGCTCGCTATCGGAGGGACGCGACTCAGTAGTGGAGGGACACGGCTCAGTGTCGGAGGAACACGGCTCAGTGTCGGAGGGACACGGCTCACTAACGGAGGGACACGACTCAGTAGTGGAGGGACACGGCTCAGTAGCGGTTACCGAGGCGCTGTGGTGGGTGCAGTATCAGTTGGACAGAGCCCCGTGGCAGTGCGGTGCGCCGCTGCCAACGCCGGGAGCAGCCGCGGCTGCCTTGTTTACAATCGGTTGTAAATCAGCGTGGGACAGCGGGCTGGTGGGCGGTGGCGGCGGGTCCATTCAGCGGGCGCTCCTGAGGCCGCGACCCGGCGGGGCGCGAGCTGCGCTCCTGTCTGGTGTATATTACACGTCCGCGGTCCACACCATCGGTGATTAACTGACTCCATTGACACGCCGCGACCTCGGATTGGTTTATAGTGCCCCTTCCCCGAGCCAGTCGCAGAGTCCGACACAGAGAGAACTGCGACAGTTCGCCCGAGGCTGACGTTCTTCGCTGGCTTTTCTCTCCCTTCATCATCCTGTGACGTTAACTGTCCCTGATGATCCAGCAGAATTATTTCCTGTACCAATTAAAAGCAGTTTGAGCCATCAGCTGTTGATGTCCAATTTATCACGGCTTTATTGCTGCTCTCTATGAAGATTGATGGCGGCCGAAATGTCAGTGCATGTCAGAGGGCTGAGCTGCATCACCACAGATATGACGCCTTCCCGGAACGGCCAATTGTTGGCGCTGCTTCTGTTGCCACCGGGCGCTCCCACGACGGCTATTGATGGTCGCATCGGTAAAGCCACGAGTATGATGGGCTTATTCTGGTGGCTGCATGCTTTATTCACATTTGCACATATTGAGAATGCTGCCGCAATGCTGAGCGTCTCATGAATCACGGTCGTCAAGTTAGATGTAAGTGAATCCTAATCTATAATCTAAGATTCGGAATCAGGTGAGCCCCTACGATTTGGACCAAACTTGGTCAGTGGATAGTACGTAACGTCCTGATTACGATGCACCCAAAATCTAAGCTCGGCCCGCCATATTTACGAAGTTACGGATGTTTGAATTTCAAGGTCATTCGGGAGAGCCCCTGCGATTTCCGTCAAAATTTGTGTACGGACACTCTAGATGCTCCTCATTACGAATATCACAAAATTTAAGCTCGGCCCGCCATATTTACGGAGTTACGGAGGTTTGAATTTCAAGGTCATTTGGGTGAGCCCCTGCGATTTCCGTCAAAATTGGTATACGGACATATTACATCCTCCTCATTACAAATATCATAAAAGTTAAGCTCGGCCCGCCATATTTTTCAAGTTACGGAGTCACAAATTTACGGAATTTCAAGGTCATTCGGAGAGCCCCTCCGATTTTCGTCAAAATTTGTATGCGGACACATTACACGCTCCTCATTACGAATATCGTAAAAGCTAAGCTCGGCCCGCACTATTTCAAAAGTTACTGACGTTTGAAACTCACTGAAATTCAAACATCTCTAACTTTTGAAATAGTGCGGGCCGAGCTTAGCTTTTACGATATTCGTAATGAGGAGCGTGTAATGTGTCCGCATACAAATTTTGACGAAAATCGGAGGGGCTCTCCGAATGACCTTGAAATTCCGTAACTTTGTGACTCCGTAACTTGAAAAATATGGCGGGCCGAGCTTAACTTTTATGATATTTGTAATGAGGAGGATGTAATATGTCCGTATACCAATTTTGACGGAAATCGCAGGGGCTCACCCAAATGACCTTGAAATTCAAACCTCCGTAACTCCGTAAATATGGCGGGCCGAGCTTAAATTTTGTGATATTCGTAATGAGGAGCATCTAGAGTGTCCGTACACAATTTTTGACGGAAATCGCAGGGGCTCTCCCGAATGACCTTGAAATTCAAACATCCGTAACTTCGTAAATATGGCGGGCCGAGCTTAGATTTTGGGTGCATCGTAATCAGGACGTTACGTACTATCCACTGACCAAGTGTGGTCCAAATCGTAGGGGCTCACCGGATTCCGAATCTTAGATTATAGATTAGGATTCACTTACATCTAACTTGACGACCGTCATGAATCGGCCGCAGGCACCACTTACAGTCAGCGCCAGTCCCGCTAACGATGCCGTTTCTGTACTGCACAATCACCGCAGGAGCTGTCGGCTGTGAATGGCCCGGCTTGCATTCTATTTGCTGTGAATGCCCCAACAGGCTGAAGGGCTCGGTGCGGAGCGGCAGGCGGTTGTTGCCGCGCCGGGGCGCTGATTAGGAAGTGAGCGGCGGTCGCGGCACGCTGATGGCGGCTCCGAGTCGTCGCCAGCGGGCACGTGCCGCCTCTGGGCCCAGTAATGGAACGGTGGCCGCCGCGGCCGGGTGGGTGGCGTCATTAGCGGCGGTCGGCCGAGCGGGGACGCGCCGCGGCGCCGCCATCAGACGAGGCGCCGGCTGCCGTCCGCCGAGCCGCTCCGCTGTCTGCCGACTGATTGGTGGCAGCACCGCGACCCGGCGGCGGCCGGTGACGACCGGCGGCTGGCCTAGAGCGGGACACTTCACCGGGGCGAGACTAACCGGTGGTCGCTGTTTGGGTCGCCGAACATTTATGTACAAACATTACGTTAAAACCTGTTCATACTAAATGTTAACCCTAGCACAGCATGTTTAGTGGTCTGACTAACTACTTAGTAAAGAGTTGAAAGAGCTTGTTTTAAAGGATTGACTTGATCTTTCGTAACCTTGACCTCGAGGCGAACTTATACCTATTGGTACGCGATTCACAGATTGTGTCGTAATTATCTGAAACTCGAAGCCGAAGCATGTTTCAAACCATTCAAGCATTATCTAAATGCCTACCTTTATTTATTGGATATCTTTATAAATTGCTATTTGTAGTCAAGGCCACTTCTTAACAATGACATTCACCTTGGCATTGCTTACCACATCAGTGAACTTTCAGAATGTCTTTTCTCGTTTTTAACTATTTCTTTGGGTTTTGTGTGCTCTGCTTTCCCTTGCAACATATGGGTGTAATTTTCGTTAGTACCTACAAAAGGGTCGTTTGTCTGATACCATGACACTTTTGACTTTTGATCTGGACCTGAACTAACCTGTCATCTTGAAATAAAGCTTCAATTAAGCCTTAGGTTCCCCTCGGCTGAGACTTAATGAACGTTACATGAAGGGATTCGTGGCGCCCATTCCTTCTAATGAAACCATGATTCGCCGCGGAAACCTCAGTAAATAGCGAGGAATGAACTCCCATGTCGGGGTGGGGGGGGGGGGGTGCGACCGAGGTCTCCAGTCTCCTCAACTCCAGATACTGCGTCTGTGGCACTCGACAGTTTCGCCCATGACTGTAATATGTAGCTAAAACAGAAAAAGCAGTGGATTTGTTACGTCACACATGAACTGAACTGCACATATAAAAATAAGATTCGAGGCAAGTTACGCATACATTACGCCAGGAGCGGGGCCAAATGTCACATAACATCAAGGCAGGTGTTCCATGGGAACCAGGAATCGTCATGGCTCATATCATGCATAATAAATGGATCGGAGGCGTTGCGGGACAGTCTAACTTCAGACGCCGACAGCCACTGCCATCTAGTGGCGAGCCTGTAAGCCATGTATGGACATCGATCGGACTTGGAGTTTACTCGTAGAGTTTTTAACAAGATGACGAGCTCATGAAGAGTGGTGTGTGATGTAACATGACTATTGGCTAGGTCTATGAGCATCTCCCAATTATGCTGCCCCATCCTGTATTACATATAGGTACAGTCTGTCTTCTGACACGTGATAAGCACGCGGAGCAGCCTGAGCTAGTCGTGGTTCACAGTCGGAGCAGCCTGAGCTAGTCGTGGTTCACAGTCGGAGCAGCCTGAGCTAGTCGTGGTTCACAGTCGGAGCAGCCTACGGGTGTCCGGGGTCGGCTGAGTGATTTCCTTTGGCGACTGATCCATCGCGCCGACCGCTGAGTGATTGGTGAGGCGGCAGATCAGTCGGTGGTGCTCCCCCAGACGGTGCGATACCTTGTTTGTGCCACCGCACTCCTCCTCCAATTCATCACTGACGCCGATTGTGATCGAGGAGCGGCGGAAGTCAGCATGAAAGGAAGCTCTTTCATTCTGTATTAATGACATTTTCTACCCAATCGGCAGTTCCATAGCCATGTGCATCGTTAAACGTCGTGGACCATTTTCGAGAATGCAGGCAGTTTAGTTCGTTTAAAAAAGTCAAGTTTTAGGCGTCCATTTCCCTAAAGGATACCAGTTAAACTTATAATATAATTATATCAAGTGAAGGGCGCAGTATAGGTTCCACTTCTTAAGGAACCTATGACTTATGACAAAAACAGAACCGTCACAGCCCGACGCTAGCCGGTTCCACCGTCACACTGCGAGTCACAGCGAGCAGAACGTGTGTCAGCAGCCGCGTGTGTCTTATGGCCGACATGCGCGACCACCATCGATGAGGCTTCACCGACTATGTAACTAGATTTGTGCGCGCACCCAGTAAATAATTCTGGCGTCCTAATTGCCCGGCCGTTAGCATTCAGCCGGGGACAGCTCCGCGCGGCATTGGTTCATCCCGGAGAGTTCCGCACGGTATTGGGGCGTCACTCAGGTCGCAGCTGGACCAAACGTCGGCAACGAGATGATACACACGCAGTCAGTGAAGCTGTGTTCAGCTGTACGAACTCTATACAGCTAATGCAGGAATTGAAATGCTGCGCATGGCATTCTCAGTCGTACTATACGATAGCTTTTGATGAAAATTATCAGATGTGATCATTCTGGGTGCTAAGGGAGGGGAGGAGGGGGAGGGGACACGAACGCCAAAAGCGATGCAATAGTTGAGAGCTCGTTTCTTTCCCTTCATATCGGGTCGCAAAAAGGTACCAGAAATGAGAAAGGTCATGGCCACACGCTCGCCCCCCCCCCCTTGTGACCAGCACTTGATCTTGTGCAACCAGTAAAGACTGGTAGCCTGGAAAGTGGAACGAGCTGAACGAAGAAAGCATTTCAAAATCAAACCAAACACTTTTCAAAGTGGGAGCTTCTTTGATCCCCTTTGCCTTCAGTTCGTTATTTATGCATGTTGCGATACATTATGCAGCTTCAATGCCGTGATTGATGTTGAAAACGTGGGTACCTACCTATATGAGATTGGTTCGACTTCTGATGTCGGTTCAATAACGCGTTGACAATAACTCGAACTCCATATTGGTGGTACCCACGCAGTTGCCTATAAGATGGCTGGCCCATAAATTCATTCACGCGTTTATTTTTCAAGCGGCTCCTCTGCAAACGATCCATATACGAGTATAACTCGACGTCTTGGTAACTCACTCCACCTTTCAATTAAAATCAGTTCATTGAGACTGACACTGAGAATAGATATTGCATGAGATCAATAAAAATTTGAGTGGCTCAATTTTCACTCTTACACTAGTTTAACGACAAACGGTAGGTGCAATTAGGGTTCCGGTAGTCCGTTCCGGTCATTTCAGACGAGTGTCAACAGCGTGCCAGCAAGGATCAACATCTGGCGTGTTCTCAGCATCAAATGGTTAGCGCTGACAGTGCACTGCTGGCCAATCGGCGTAAGCGTCCTCTCTGGATCAGGATGTCCAATCACGCAGAGAAGGTGTCGAACTCGGATCAACCAGGTCAAGGTCACACACATAACGCAGCCCTCGGGAAAGCTTCCAGGCCAGTCATCCACAGACCTCGAGAATTCGGCACGGAATGGATAGAGAATTAGATGTTACCGGGTCGAGACCTCGAGAATTCGGCACGGAATGGATAGAGAATTAGATGTCACCGGGTCGAGCCCGATGACGAGAGCGCTGTAGTAACCAATACTGGAAGGGGGTGGAGAGGTCTGATTCAGTCCGGTT